CTGCCCATTCTGCTGGTCTTATTGTTTCATCGAAGGGTTTCGTCAAAAAAACAACTATTCATTGAGGGAAATAGCTGCCTGAGAAGAGAGGAAGAAAGAAATGTCTTGTGCAAGTCTGATTGAAGAGGAATGCCTTGAATTCAGTACAAGAGAATGTCACTTGGGCTGAAATGCAGTGTTTTTTTCCTCAACCACATGCATAAGCGAGCCTTGGACACTTTAGACAGGTTTATTTAACTACAATGGGGCAACTTGTATTGAAAGGGGATTTCTCAAGGAGCCAGAAGAGTTCTTGGGCTAAGTATTAACTTAAGGGAGGGTGATGCAAGTCACTGGAAAAGTGCTCCTTAGTAATAATTTTTTTTTTCAGATTTACTTGTAATTTGTAAACCCTTCCATTGTATTTTAACGCAATCCTAGTCATTTCTGATCAATTCTTCCGTACTTATTACAACTCACTGTATTGTCAAGATGTGGTTTTCATCCTGTTGAACTGACTTATATTTCAAATGTTCCTTTCCCCGTTTCCTTCATTACAAATGCGTGAGTGCTCTCACGGGTGTTTTGTGACATTGGAGTGGATTACAACTTGATTTTATCCAAATGTACGTTGTAGTTGATCGAGGTTGTTCTCTAAGTTCAGACGTTCAGTATTACCGTACCATGTTCTAAGTTCCGGTATTCTAGCTGTATATTTTTCAACAGTAGTTTTTTGTTGTTGTATTGTGAAATTTCAGATATTGAAATATACCAAGGGACCGATGCCACCAAAATATGTAGTTTTAGAGATTTAGTGTTCGCTTTGCACCAATCTGTGGATGGTTTTATTCATGTCATTTGCATTTTAACTCTTTATTTATACAATTATATATATAAAAATGTACATGGAGGTACCTTATTTAATCTGTAATTGAACATAATTGTTATTATTCATTTACATTTCCTATTATGTAACCGTAGTCTAGTTGAAGGAAAATTGTCTTAATTTGCCCCTGGTGCACTCAAACTACTTCCAGTGCGTGCCAACTTGTAATTGTATATTACTCTAACTTCTAGTTCTTACTATGACACGATCAGTCTTTTAGAACATCTAGTTACATGTACAGTGTGTCCCATATCAGTAAGCATGGAATGACTTGTGTGAAAATCAGGAAAAAACAAGTCTTTTATTTGGTCGTAACCCCAACCCCTTTCGTATTTTTTTCTAGCCCCCCTCTTGGATCCTTCCATTTCAGTGTGGGGGGGGGAGAGTGGTACTTGCTACATCTTGTGGCCCTGCTCTTACCTTCCTCAACTCTGCCAAAATCCTTAAGAACCATCGACTAGAATCTGAAGACTGGGGGGTGGTTAGGGTTAAATCGTGGAAAAACCCGACTGGAAACAAAATGCATGATGTGCCGATGAAACTAGTTCTGCACCTACACCCCCCCCTCGCCTTAGACTTCTTTTGCAAGGAGTTTGCTAAGTTTGCAAAGTTCACTTTGTTTTATGCAGGTCTGCAAGAAGCTGGAAGGGTGGAAGTAGTCTGGTAACCTGGGAAAGAATGTTGGGACAGTATCTTTTCTTCCGGGAACCAGACCAACAAATGACCAAAGGCTGGTGCCTTATTTAAGGCATTGATAACGAAAGTTGTGTCTCAAGGTACACTTTCGTCTTCAACGTCAGCTAATCCCTGGCTCCGCAATCCAGATGTAGACCTGTGTGATTGTCAGACCGATTGAAAAATTCCTGTCTGGCTTCACGTCGTACATGTATGTGTTCCCTTAGTGAGTCACACTCTTCAAAGTTGGGGGCTTCAAATTTAGAAGAAAAGGCAAAAAAAAAAAAAAAAATAGATGTGAAGACAAGGTTTCAGACATGCCATAGGTGTAAGCCACTCATATTGGCTTCTTCTTCTTTAGAAGTTGTTCATACTCGGTAGCCGCAGCCAAAGGGATTAGAAAAGTTTTGCCGGTAAGTCTTGGATTTCCAGCATTCTCTGTGATCTCAGGGACACATTCAGTCGCACATTCCATTCACCAGAAACCATTCATTTTGTCAGAGTTTTAAATCAGCCCCCTCTCCGTGTTTCCCATTTACAGTGCACATCTCGTCTCATTGCAATTTTCCATTTTTATTTCACATACTTCACTGTCGCTCATTTTACTTTGATTTCATGTCTAATCTTTCACAGATTTTAGTATGGCATTACATACACCAAGAATATAATATTTCTCTTTAAAATAAATAACAGCCAATATGCGATGGTACGGCGAACATAATTTTACGATCACTTTTTAAAGGGCAGGAAGAGCTGAGGCTTCTAGGGAGTTAGTGCGCCTGTAAAGACGTCCATGGATCAGGCCAAGTACACTTACCTTCATGCACAGAACATGTGCACTAGCATAAACACTCTCATCCAACTAATTTTTAATGCTCAAAGCCAGAGGATATTGCAGCTAAAGTGACCATCCACGCTTCCTCATTTTGCTGATGAATTATCGTTGAAAGATAGTGACAAACTGATGTCTGTTCATGGCGGTGTTTCATTGCAGGAAGAAGGGTTTTTTATCTCAGAAAGATGTTTCTTCATGATGTGTCTGGAAAAGATGTCTTTTGAGTTTATATCATATTTTAGAAGGAACTTTTTTTTGGATATCAAACACCAAAGCTGAAAAGAGACTATATGGTCAACTGACTTCTCTGCACTTAATCTTTCCTTATGGACGAAAATGTGGAAAAAGTGGGAGGTCACTTCAGGCTTCCATAAGAGGGCACTGTTACCTTTAGAGTTTATCATGAACATCGTGCAACAAAAGAACTTTGGAAGAACTTTGGAAGAACTTCACCAAAGTTGCCACCGATAGTTCACTTTATATCATAATTCACCAAACTAACATACTTCAAATGAAGTGTAGAATTAGATGAGTTTTAATGAAATGAATTTTGCTAGACTGTATCGAGTTACTGATTACATTTTATACTAAGTACTTGGTTCAATGAATTTGTACTGTATGTGTACTGTTGTGATGATTCTTTATTGGGCATGTATCAATAAATGTTGGGAATTTCTGAAAAAAAAGTTGGCTCGCATATGATTCATATGACTGGTTTCTCATCTTTTGCCAGTGCTAATAACTATATTATTTCTGCAATGAAAAACTAGTGGTCCTTTGAGGTTAAAGCATTGATCAAGGCAAATGAATGGATAAGAATATTTCTCTTCAAAGCTGCACTGCTAGAAATGTACACAGCAATGGTAAACCACCCCCACCCAGCATCAAACAATCAGAAATAACTTAGGGATTGACATCACAGACGTCATACAAAAGCATGGACTGGCAATGCCCTTACGGTCCGTGTTTCACGTGTATCTAGATCTCAATCAGTGATCCCAACGCTGGTTCTCTCCATCCATTTGGTGGATTCTGGTGTCAGTGAACCAATGAAGGATTACTAATCAAGATTCTGATTCGTGTAAAACAAACAGGCCCTTAATCTTTATACACAGGTCACTGAAGCCACCGGTGGCCATCTTAGTGTACCGAATACAAAAGCTCAAACAAAGGCTTGCCCGCCATGGCTAACCAAATTCACTCATGAGAGCCAACCATCACTTTTGCACTAAGTGCGGTAAGATGCCAGCTGGTGGCTTCAGTTGGTACAACAGGGTTCGTAGCCGTCATTAAATTCCCTAAAAATCTTTCTTGAGTTTTATTGAGGTCATGAAATTCCTGGAGAAGTCATGGTAGAAAAGTGAATAAAGTCACTAAAGGTCATTAAATTTTCATCTTTTACATCTTGTATTTCATAATCGTGCTGCATTTTTCAAGACATGTTTCAATACTTTGCATTAAGTGCGCCGATCTGTGAATCATGAACAGTTATTACTGCTACGTCAAAGCCCCGCGATGTCACCTCAAAGGACTGTGATCTAATCACAATTGCGCATATTACCAGCATCGTAGAATTGCACATACCGATTATGGAATTCAGTAAAAAGTCTTTGAAAATGGATCATAAAAGTCATTAAAAGTCTTTGAATTTGTTGCGAGTCTTGCCACTACGAACCTTGTACAAAGACATTCCGAGTCCAGGCTTTTTTTATGACATCCATGTCTGACGTCTGTGTTAAAACAAATGGGCGGCCAAAGGTGGGTCTTTCTGGCAACCTGTGTCTGCCTCATTGCTAGTAGACGTATGAGATGATTAACTCCTGACCATTTACTGGTATGGCTTACTACACAGGGCTGAATTCTTGGAGCACAATTCTGGCTCTTGCTATTTTGAAATACAAGTGCTTCAAGAAGACACCTGAACTCCGCACCGCATCACTGTATCTTTCTTTGGCAATCTTGATACTTTCCTCCAAACTACAGTTTAAAAGTCAAAAGCAGCATAGCCATCTGCATCATGTTAGGTGATTTTGAAATGACTTCATCACCAACTTGTTAGCCAGCTCACCTGCCATCTGGCCTGATGGGCCACAAAGCTTCAAGAATCTGTCTTCAACGTCAACCGATAAGTACTGTTAAAACCTGGCACCCAAATACCAGACTTATCCCACTTAGTCATCGTAATCCGGAATGTCGTCAAACGAATACCCCCTGTAACCCTTGTAGGCATACACTGCCAGTCTCACATGGTAGAATCCCGGAATGAACAGCACCGTTCCCAGAATCAGTATTGGCCACATCCTGTCCTGGTATTTATTGCTTATGTGTCCGGTCACCAGCAATGCCCCGATGGTCAGCAAGACCGTCCCCATGACCAAGAGGAGGCAGGCTACACCGATGGACTTCCAGGGGACCTTGGGGGGCTGTCGAGTAAACTGGGGTGGTGGAATTTCAAGAATAAGTGATAGTAAAGAAACAGCTTTGTACGGGAATTTAGGAGTCTCAGAACTGTACATTGGAGTGAATACCTGGAAAGTATGCTCTGCGTCCCAGAGCAAATGTGTAAAGTAAGTAAATAGATCAGTGCTTGAAACAATTTGTGCCGTGCTTTGTGATTTGATGAGTACGAAAATAGACATTTGGTACCTAGTCCCTGTTTTACAGTTTTTTTCTCCACAGGCATGCCACTGTACTGCTACTGACTGGTCATCGTCACGGGTTTACTGCCTGATGCAAGAAATCGAGGAAAACCATTTGCAGAACTTTGAATGAGACCTCACCCATTGGTTGATGACTATTCAAGACTTCCCCTCAAATTAAGGAGACCTTACTTTGCCTCTCCGAGCTTGAAGAGGAGGAGCAAGTCCTGAGCCCCATAGAGGTAATTTTGGAGCATTTGTCAATTAAAATGTAATTTTTCAATTGATCTGATTTTCTTTTTAAAGAGAGTATTGCTCGGCTGTTCAATTTTTTTACCTGCAAGTCTATGTAGCCATCCCCAGTGTCAGTCATGCGGGTGTATTTCACACTGCTTTTGTCCGTAGCCATCCTTCTAGCAGCCATAGCACAGATCAACAGACATCAATGCTGGAGAATGAAACTGCCGGAATACACAAAGTGTCTGCTGTTGAGAACTCAAAAATAAAGTAGGACAAGGCCTAGCTGGAGTAACTCCAGCCCTTGTACTCACAACCTTGAGAAATTAGCAATGTCATTCAGCATTAAGACTGGAGTTGTTGGGCATGAGCGCTAGTAGGCCTAATATTAAACGCCAACGTAAATGAAGCAAGTGACAAGGCACCACAGTCTAACAGTCATAACCATGATTTTGTCAGTAACCATGGTAACCACTTAGGGAAAGAGTTTCATATACGGACACCAGTTAATTAATCCCTACAGTAACCCATTAGCCATCAGAAAGCAAAAACGTGCCCCCCAAAAATTCAATGTAAGAGAGATAATACCAAGTCATTTTACATGGAAAACACTTCAAATTTTTCAGATCAGTCTCATATTTAGTCATAACGTTATAATGGGTAGGGTTTGTGCACAGGGTGTCAAGCGGCGTCTATATTCACTGATATTTATGGAACTCTTTCCACGACTTTGTTTACCAGTAATTCTTGCCTCACAAAGTCCGTTTTCCACGCCACAGACTTGCCACAGAATTGTCGAAGGCATTAAATTATCGTTCACAAAGGTTTAACCATTAACGCTGCCACCATAGGCCTAGTGTAGTGAGTATTAGTAGTATATTGAATCCGACTGCGAATTTATGCACATTATCCTACATAGGTTGCATGCAACTACTGGACAGTAGTGACTGCGCCCTCAAGAGGTTATATTTTGCTCCAAACTCCTACAACCGAAGGCACAGTGGGTGCACTGAACTATCCATTGAAAACAGTATAAAATCAACAAAGTTTGGAGACCCGTAGGAGGCAACTGAAGTCCCGAGGTCTCTCAAGCAAAAACAATGTGCTGTTTGGTCCAGTAGATTTCATTTGATTTGAAAATTTAGTAGGTTAACAGATGAATTTTTTAATTATCCACCAAAAACAAACTCGCCCCCCAAAAGTGAATGTACCCAAGTCTTCTCTACAGCCATTTTTCAAATGACATCCCTCACCCAGATGGGTGCCCCTAAATCTACATAGATGATCCTGGGCCATACTTACACAATTCCACAATGTGTTGGCCCGCACAGACCCCTCTTTTTGAAAGAATTTGTCAGGGGTACTTTTTAAGCACCTTGGCCTGGCAGAGAATTTTTTTGAATTGGAACACTGCACCCCAATATATTCAATAAAATACCAACTAACTGCAAAATATTTACACGTTTGACTAAGTATGAGGGTTAAAATTCAATATTTATTGGTTATTCTGCTTTTATTGCCTTTCACGTGAAAATGCTAGCATCAGTTGAGTTGGCTTTATTTTACAGAAAAATAAAATATGGATATTTTAACACTTTCCCCAAATAATAACGGTTTACTTGACCAGGAAGCATCTGTGATGTAGTTGTAATGACGTTCCTTGAAAATATGAACCAAAATATGACAACCAATCTCAACACAGAGAATTATAATATACTTTTTTTTTGCATAATTTTTTTCAAAATTGGACCAACTTGTAATACTTAATACATGTATTCTGTTAATTACTTAGATAAAATAGAGAGCTTTAGCGAAAAAAATTCAATAACAAGAGCGTTTGGTGAATTGAAGTATCATGATGAAAACATTTTGAAAGGCTGATTAAGACTTCCCCCCCAAAAAATTCTTGGACGTAAATGCAACAAGCAACATTTAAAAGTACTTTTTATATTTGACAAATGGAGTTTTTTCTTTAAACTCAAAACAAGGATATGTATCACTTATGACTCCATGGAAGACAGAAAACTTGAAATTAAATAATTTTTAATAAAAGTAGAAGTGAAAAAAATTGACATTGTTTTTTCCGAGACCATGTTTCTTGATACTGAACTTTCAGATCTACAGGGCTCTAGAAAAAAAACTCTCTCGACATCAAGAGTATTCAAAATTAACTTTTTCTTTCACCAGACTGTTAACATCTTTTAAAAAAGGAGGAAAGAGTGGCAGATAGAAAATAAAGAACTAAAACAAACCAGAAAACATCCCTGTAACAGACAGGTCGAAACTATGGTATGTAACACTGCAGTGATTTAAGTACATTCTCTTACACAATTAAGATTTTAATTATTAAATATTTGAAAGACAAAATGTTTTTAAAAAACCAAGTGGAAATTCCACCGATCTGCATGGCATGAATGGTACTTAAATCCACCTGCTACACACTGCACGACATGAGGTTGATACCCTAATACACGTAGTCACTTTTTTTCTATGTGCTGAGCACATTACAATAAGCCATTTGCAAATTAAATTTGAATAAAATATGGTGCACTGAGTTATCTGACTGCACATAAACATAATGATTTAAAATTCCCCAGACTAAAGACACTGTTGCTATACCTTGTGATTCCGGGCAAGCTTTGCATAGCGGCCACCATCTCTGGAATGGACTGGTTCCTTTGTGCCCTCCTTATCCATTGAGAATAGTGTATTGTTGCAAGGCGTCTCTTATGTATCTGAGCAAAAGCTTGCCCCGAATCAAGAGGTATAGTAACAGTGGTTTTAGTAAGGAGAACTCAAGTTGTTATGTTCACGTGAATTTAAAGAATTCAGTACACCAGATTTGGGTCAAAGTTAACTCGCAAAAGGCTTATTGTCATGCACTTGTTTTCAAGAAAGGCATGTGGCAGCCTAAGAAACATGACATTGTTCCAAACACGTTGCACGGATATTGATATACATTCAAGATACATCACACGTTTATACATGCACGTCATTTCAGTAAATCTCGACTTGACACTTCCTGAGAATTCGTCAGGCCTCATGGTTACTGACAGCTTCCGAAAGTGTCAAAACAAAAGTAAGTAACTTTCCCAAAGGTTAGTTGAGTACATGGAAAACTATACTGGAGAAAATTTGAACCAGTCAATAAATCAGACGCTGAAGGTCAACCTTTCTTGTACACAAGTGTATCAATCTTGTAAATGTAAGTATAGTTTCATTCAGTACAAACTACTTCTTCCCTGGAGGATTACCCGTTTAGGTTCAAATGCATTGACAATCACAACAACAAGATGTGTATTAACAATAAACGCACTCACGTGAATACTCTCTTGCCTTCAGCCTTGTGTTTTTATATTTTCTGCACATGCATTTTTCAATGCATATGTAACACCTCTAACATGCTGCAACTTAATGGAATCTGCTGGGATAAACCAACGTTGAACCTTGCATTCTGTCTATTTGAATTTTTGTTTGAATTTGTCTGTGAGAATATGCTTCCAAACTGATTTTATTGAGTTTTGCTTTTTTTTTAATTGAGCCTGGGAATCGCTTTGTAATGGGTTACGATCAAGATGTACATTTAAAATGCTTGAATAAATCTTTTCAAAAGCTATTTCCAGTTGCATACCAACAAAACGCTCCGGAAGTACTTGATAAACAATTTTGCAAAAAAGAGAAAAAGGGAAAAAGTTATTTGTGGGTCATCATCAGAATCTCCCCACCCCCAACCTGTGTGAAGCCACGCCTACCACAGGGACCATGGAGAGCGCCTTATGTGTCCCAGAGAGACGCCGGTTATGTTGACTGGAATGGAGATGACAGCAGACGGCAAGCCCTGTTGCTGCAGGGAGTTCTTGATCATATAACTGTGATTGATGAGAGAAAAAAAGTGGGGATTTCAAAAACTCAGTGGATCTATCTGAAAAATGAGACTCGACGGGCTGGACTCGTGCAACTACCCACACGATTTTGACACAACAACTCACGAGTCCCAGCTGCAATCCCTCTGAACATCACAGGTCACAGCTTACCCGTCTCGTCCGAGGAGGAATGCAACTGGAATGGAGGTTGTCCTGCCCGTGTTGTCATCGATCATGTCAATGACCTTGTCAAAGTTCCTGGCGTTGTCATCGTAGATGATTACACCTACTGATCCAGCTCTCTCAGCTACAATGGCCTTGGACATGAAGGAACAACTCCTGGGGTTAAGAGGCAGTGACACAAAGAGTCATGAACACTACAAACTTTCCACCTAGATATTGAAAAAGGCCCATTCCGAAATACAGGGGACCATTTTCTTCAAGCTGCTAGGAGGATTTTGAAGAGGATCCTGGTCTTGTGAATTTTAAATTGTGTTGATACAATGCAAACTGGCCGCATCTTCATGAAAATCAGCACTCCATGGTTCCACTTTCTGAAATTTTTTTTTAGCACAACTCATACTGAGGGGAAAAAATAAAAACCCAAAGCTCACCCTCTTTTGATGAGAGCGATTTCCCCAGACACTTGAGCAGCATTTGTCAACGATCCACAAGCATCCTCTGGGTCTGTTGGAATGAGACATATTCTGTGGAAATGATCAGCCTGTGAAAAAAAAAGAAGCCAACATTTTATATGTTAATATTATCTTTATTCAAAATATTGACACTAGCTGCTATATGTCTATGGATACCTTATGTGTGTGACTGGTGTGGCTTGTAAACAGATTTTTCAGTCGTACAATATACTGAGAATATAAAACAAAGCAGGTAGTGTAGGCAAGTGAGGGGCAGATATAATGTAATTGTTTTGTTTGACTTACAAAAGTTGCTCCAAAATTTTTGGCTGGTCTGATTTTATAAATAAAGGCGAGATCTTCTGGGCTAAGGATACTGAAGAAAAGGTTTTCATCTACGCCATGACCTGTTCACATGGAAAAGATAAGAAGGCATAATTCAAAAGACAGTCCAAACCAGTTAGCAAAGACATATAAAAAAATATAAGCTCATGACAAGAAATTTTTCTCTAGGTAGGCCCCTTGCAACAGGGATTGTATATTTGGGGACCCCCAGTTTTTCTTTTTTCATTTTAATCTGGTAAAACTCATCAGTCCCTCCTAAAAACCAAAGGCAACACTCTCTTTATTGCGCTGACCCTGTTTTTTGGAATTTCGAATTACAAACTGTAACAGAACTACTTCAACTTGTCAACCAGTGTCAGTATCAAATGTATCAAAAGTCACTCACTGCATCAGTCAATACGAATGCAATGTCAACACATGTATGGAGAAGGAAAAGATGGGTCAATAAGCGGCATAATGACGCAGCCACTGCCATGCATGCAGATAATGAGATATGGATATCGCAGAGTAAATTATTTCTAGACGCGAACCCCATCCTTCTGCAAATAATCAATATTTCATGTTTGATTTCACATAGTATTACCGTGTATGTATCGAACTGCTACTAAAATTATGCCGAAAAGAATACAGATTTGCCACGTATGCAGTAATCTCCAACCGGGTCCACCCAATCTTCTAAGTACTATGGGCGCCGCCATCTTCACAATCTTGCACAAGGTTAAAAGTTCGTTGTTGGGTTGTGCGATTATACAGCGGGGTAGTCAAATAAGTATTCAAGTACCAACAAATGTATTTGTATCCTTGAAACTGAGTACATGTATGTAAGGTACAATTTTATCTTAATGATAAAATCAAAATACAGTTTGAAACAACTGACTTTGTCTCGTGATTTTTTTCACCAGTTTCTAGTCTCGCAAGTTTACAAATTAAGTGCAAGCCGCGTACAACGCATTATACCTTTCAAATAATAGACGAGTCTATTGCAGGTCATCGCCTTGATATATCGAAGTAGGCCTATTTGTATATCTGCAAGTTTCAGGTAAAGCCTGTGGGTTACGCGGCGATCTTTGGTCACAACACCTTGTTAGAGACAAATAAGCAATGAGGCATTCGTCCAGTCACTTATGACAGAAGGTGGGAGACGATTTTTACATGATGGCTAGCTCCGAAAGGAACTTGGAAGAAGACAGAGACGAGGCATGGGTAAGTGTCGTGCCATAGACCATGTCAGGTTGTTGTGCTTAACCAAATTTCAATAATCTCATTAAGCCTAGGCCTACTCCAGGTTTATTTTACACTTGTCATGCTCACATGTAGGCCCTAAGCTTCTTTACTTGTTACTTTGACTGGCAATTTCATTGTACATTTAATTATACTGTTTTCAGGTGTAAAAAATGTTATCACTAGTATCAGGAGCCAACTTCCAAATCTGCAGTTTGGCTGTACCTAACTGCTTGTCATCCATTTCTTGGAATCAGTTCTGTATTATAAGTAAATCCATGGTAGCTCAGGTGACTGACTAGTTCAAAAATTTGGAAAGAATTCCATATACGGACAACACTTGATGCTCTGTGCACAAACCCATGAGACTTGTCTGAAAAAACTCTAAGTAAATGCTTCAGAATTTTTGCAGCTAAATGTTACTTTTTGAGCCATATTACCATGTTCTGACAGCTGACATCACATTTTAAGGGAAAACTAGTGTTGTCCACGTATGGAACTCTTTCCAAAAATTTTTCCTCAGATTTCAGTCCGTTAGTCTTATCAGAATGCAAATTGCAGATCTTCAGCATTATGCTCACAACGGGGAGATTCTCAGTTTCTGGCTAATCTCTGTATGTCCTGAGCCCAATGCTGGATATATGTCGCTAAACTGCACCCTGGTGTGCCTGCTTTTTTTTAAACAGGAGCAGCCGCAGTCACAAGTGGTGGACGTCAAGTCTACAGCCATGGTCAAGTTGGCACGGAGGCTACCAGTCTACCAGTTCTCCAGGCTTGACCAGAACACCGACCTGCACCTGCCGCCGGACAACTGGTTACGCAGTGAGGCCCAGCTCTCCAAGACCTGGGTGACGGGCGAATGCACCCAATTTTCCAGGTAGACTCTGCTCTGTTTTTTCCCCCCGTCTTGAGGCTCAGGGGTGTAAGCCAAGTTGAACATTTCTGAGAGACTGTTCCGCATGAAGGCATCTAATTTTGTTTTCTTTTTCAATATTTTAGCTTTGCCATGGCTGAAACGTTACCAGATACTGTTGGTGAAGTGGACGTCATTTCAGCTGCAGAGGTAAAAGTGATTTCAAACTGGTGACTTCTTTAAGCAGAAGCTTTCAATCAAAGTTGAGTGAGTCCTGCCGATAATACATGAATGGATGCTTCTCTAAAGCGTGCAAATTCATTCAATCCAACGTAGCTTTTGTTGGAACCTTCCTGAGTCCTAAATGCAGTACTCCAGTAGCACATTCTTTCAACCTGTTAACACCTTTATGGCAGGAACCAAGTCTTGACGGCTTTATAAATATCACCAAAATAACCACAGAACGAGGGTACAGATTACAGCTGATCTACAGCGAGGAGTGCTCAGGTAAAAGAGTTAACAAACTGCCGTCATGGCTACTGTCATTTTTGATTCTGGTATGATTTTTTTTTTCAAACAGAACATCAAGAAGCTGTTGAAGATTCCATTCAATAAGATGCAAGTCAGCATGGCAGTGCACCGCGTGGGCAAGACGCTACTACTAGATGAGCTGGATTTGCTCAAGCACCTCAGAAGTGCCTCCCAGGTGATCAAGTTTACAATGTCTCGTCTCGTTTATTAGGCGTAAAAATGCAGAACTACACTTTACTAGCCTAAACCCCGTCCGCCTTTTCTGTAGGCCTAGAACAAGTCCTGTGAAAACAGAGTGCATAGCGTGCTGACTCGAGCCCAATCCTTTAACTACAGTGAAAAGCCGATTTATTTTCTGCTCCACACCGTCAAAATTTCCTGCTCCTCATCCCATCTAAATTACACTTGTTTGAACAATGATAGATTTGGCTGTGGACTTCCCGGCAAAAATGAAACATCTGTTGCCATTTTGTGCCCTCCTTCCTGTTGAATAGGGCGAGAGAGAATGGATGAAGACATTTCTCCTCCAAGCAGTCCTGTCCGAAGGGAAGAACCTGACCATGACACGCAAGACCAACGAGCTCCTCCAGAGCTGGAATCTATTGTCCAAGTTCCTGTGCTACAGGTAATAAAAGACACTACCATCTGCCTCAAGATTGTGAGTCACTCTCGAAGTAGTGTTGGAAGTATTCTAATTGACTCTGCGCCCACCCGGTTGAGGGCGCTCAGGTGGGCTGCCAACTTGTATGAAGGGGTGGTGGATTGCTGTCATTATAGTTGATTTGACCATCAGTCAGTTACGTCAGCACTGTGTCATTGGATGTGTTGGAGGATGTGAGAGCTGATTGGCAGAGACTCCAAGTGGAATGGTTGCGAGGTCGCATTAGATGATACAGCATAGGAAAGTCGTATGTTTTGGAAAATTGCTCATCAGGTTACATTAGGATGTGTGGTAGCTGTTGCAGATATTGAAGGTCCATGCAATGGGCATAGGACATTTTATCACAATAAACAACGTCATATCCGGAAGTCCTTTGTAGGGGGTCCAAGGTTGTGAGATCACTGACTTTTCTAATTCTCCACTTGACAGTATTGGCAATTCTCCAGATGAGTCTGTGCCCCAGCAGAGCTATGACTTTGAGGAGCAGCACTTGCCACAGAGCCAGTCTGCTCTGGTCCAGATCCCAGACCTGCTGCCGAAGGTATGCTTAGCTCAGCACTGGCAGGGGTCTTGTACAAGCTGAATTTGCTAATTAATGGATTCAAACTCTCTACAGGAGGCCCTAGATTGAAAACTGCAAACAAAACTCCTTCACTATGCGATGTTGATCATTATTTGTGATTACATATGTCATTATTCTAAGGATTTGTGCCTGTGTATATCATGAAGAGTCCTGCCTTTGTTTATCTCAGTGTTATTTGAATATTGGGCACATTTTTTTTTGTTAGACGAAGCCGAGTGAATTTGCCCGTCAGGTTCTCTGGCAGTTTGAAGACATCCGCATGCTGATTGGCACCGACCTGCCCATCTTTGGAGAGGGCACGCACCCAGCAGTCAGCCTGAGACTGAAGTGAGTCGTTCATCAGCTGTCCAGCATAAAAGATTGCTCAGTAAACTTACGTGCTAAGCAACAGTCTGCCAAGAAGCAGTTACAGGAAATGTAGTTTGCATGCTACATTGGCTGGTAGCCAGCATTTGCTAAGCAAATGGATTCTGTATGCAGCAGTTTCTGTACCTTATAGTTCATCAGCTGAATGTCTTTTCCTTGGACAAAGAACTAAAACTTCCCTTGGTGAATTTCATCCTACGCCAGCTCCCTTTCTCTGTCTGCCCATTGAGAATTCTTACTTTGATATGAACAGTATTGGAGCTGTGAGCAGACTTAATCCCTGAGATTTATTCAGCCACCGGAAACCTTTCTCAACCTTCCAAAGTTTTCCATCTTGTTTAAAAATAATGACACATTCTTTACAATTTTTACACTCAAGAGCATGGAATCCTAAATGAGCTAATATTCAATGGACTTTCACCTTCCTCTTTTTCAAAGCACCTGATGAATTTCAACTGTCGTGAGGATTTGGGTTCCTAAACACACGTTGTGTACGTTTATTTCTTATGCTCAAAATATGTACTTCAATGGACCTATAACATAATAACGTCACGCTTCGTCTACACATGTGCTTCTTTATGGCAGTGAGTTTGGACAAGATCCATCAAGCCCCCATAGTAAGGCGCACATGTAAACGTAGAGTGACGTCATTGTGGTTTAGGTGTACTTCTAGCAAGTACTGACTGGATATTTGCAGGCTGGTGTTAAGAGTTTTCCATCTATCGGTCTTGCCTAGGGATATGAGCAGCCCGATCAATGTATTGACCGGCCTTGATTACTGGCTCGACAACCTCATGTCCAATGTCCCCGAGCTGGCCATGTGCTACCATCTCAACGGCATCGTTCAGAAGTACGAACTGCTCAAAACAGAAGAGATACCCAACTTGGAAGAGGCCAAGTTTGCACCCCAGGTCAGTGAGTACCCATCAATTACAAGTCTGAAATGTATAAAAAAAATTCTCACTTCTACCTGCAAGCTTTTTGACGGAATATGTCGAATTGATAACGTCTGTTTTCTGGCCTCACCTCCCAGGTTGTGAAGGATATTGCACAGAACATCTTATCTTTCCTGAAAAGCCACTGTACAAAGGAAGGGCACACATACTGGCTTTTCAAAGGTAGGTCGGTGAAAATTGAGGCAATTTTGGAATGGCAGAGCAGCAACTTTGAACCTTTCTGGGTTCAATCAATCCACTTTATTGCTTGTTAACATGATTTTTTTCTCTGATGATATCCTAATGATGTTTATATCTTGTGATTTGCCTAAAAAGTATCGTATTGAGTGATTTTGCAGCTGTAGAAAATTGGTATTGATAGTTCTTTCAGCGGTGAACTTGTCAACTGTAGGATTTTGTTAGAGCCACTAGATTTGACACCTGTTGTAAGAATCTGTAGGATACATACAAAAGTACAAGGGTTTAATTGTACATGTGCTTTCCATTTCTCCACAGGTCAAGATGAGGACGTGGTGAAACTCTACGACCTGACAAGTCTTTGCAACGAGTATCCCAACAGGCCATGGGAGAATCCCTTCATCTCTCCGGTCGCCATGTTGCTGTACAGGGTGGCCAGGAATCTCTCCATGTCGGGACCCAACAAGAAGTGAGTGCGGCAGAACACCAGTTTGAGTCGCTCGTCCCTGGTTCAGCAGTATTAGCCACAGTAGCTCTTTGCACGTAACTGTTTCAGGAGATGAGGGCGTTGATTGCGCATTGTTCCATCCCTTTTAAGTTTAGTTCCACGTCCCACTGCCACTTTGTACTTACTTGGCTTGTGATTAGCTGGAGAACAATGATAATTTACTGAAGTGGGATTTGAACCCAAGACCTCAAGATTTCTACATCATTGGTTTTAGCCAACCACAGTGATTTAAGTCTGTCTAAAAATGGCCAAGTGTAAGCTCTTGTCAAATTCTAGTGAATATGTATGTTATTGCCACACATGTGCATCAACTTTTCTCGTGTACCTGAAATTTCAGGCGACATTGTCAGAGCCCACTTACATTCCTGCATTCATCCCCAGGAAGGCCTGCTCTTCTTCATTCTTGGGGGGCTGTATTCAGCAGCCATAACTGTCGTTCTGACACGGCCTGTCTGAAATGTGTTCCATTACAGGGATAAAAGCACCATGTACAAGCTTCTGAAGAACTGTCTGCAACTCCTGGAAGGCAATGAAGGGCAACATCCAGAGGTGAGAGCTCTCTCAACTTTGGAACTCAAGGCTTGGCGCCTGAACTCAAGTCTTAGCATCAGTCAATGTTATACCTTTCAACTTCAGTCATTTCTTTTAGTGATCGCAAGGATTTTTTTGAGATGGACAAGTTTGCAAGTCTGATGAAAGCGGCAGATTGGAAACAAATACCAGAATTTCTGTTTTAGAGGTGGGAGGAAAATTCCTGAGCATACTATTTCAAGGGGAATGCAAACAGGTACGTGTTATTGTGTAGGAAGTGGAAATTTGAACCTGGGCAAGAGATGGAGAAGGATGGTGAAAATTCCAGTTGAAAGTTTTAGTGCGCATTTCTTTGGTGATGCAGGTAGCAGCCTCGGCCAGTCATCTCCTGTCCCACATCTTTATCAATGAGGATGACTTGAACGACCCCCAGCCTCCTGCCGCCTCAGCCCCTGCCTCCCAGAAGGCCTCCAACAAGGCCCAGCGGCAGCCTGCAGATTCCTCGTCTGCCTCCGACGAAGACGAGTTGGTCATCGAGGAGGAGGACGAGAGAGGATCCTCCCTGAGTGTGCCTTCCATGAACACCCAGAGCCTTAAGCAGCCCAGCAGCAAACACAGCAGCAGCAGTGGGATGGGTGGCTTCAAGGAATGCGGACGGCACCGGAGGCGGTCAGCCAAGACCGTGTACGCCTCTCGGGAGGAGAAAGCCAGAATGGCCCTGGCATTCATTGTCAAGGTAAGGAGTCACGGGGTAGTATTCTTATGCCATTCCAAAGGTCAATCTCTGATTCTCTGGATTTGTCAGACAGAAATATGCAGTTTAATATGACCCATCTTCTTACCATCAGCAACCATGTAAAAATTGTACAGTAGTCTAGAATTATTGCAGGTTTTACATACCATTTTGTATTGGTACTTCTGTGCATAAATACGTCTTGCTGGAGCTCTTCGTGAAAAATTGGTAAGCTTGTTTTTCCGGTTTTCAGGGTCTGAAGAGCATCATGAAGTGTCCCCAGTCTACAGATACACGTGGCGGCCAGAAGCAGGCTGCCAAGCTGCCAAGCCCACTGCCCTCTCCGACACGGGTCAGACCTCTCTGCTATTCCAGGCCCTCAGTGACCCGTGACACGGGTGGGAAGGCAGAGCTTGCAGACACCGAGTTGAGGCAGCTCCCAGGTGGTACTGTGAGTGCCCTGGATGACTTTGGTGGGGTGGACAGTGGGGCCGAAACGGAGCAGCTCAGCAAGGAGCAGGAGGATTTGTTTCTTCCCGAGAAAATGATGAGTGATACGAATCGCGACACTCTGGGAGGAGTCGTTGTTGAAGCTCACAGCACAGAGGCAAGAAATTCCAGTGAAGCAAGAAGTACCACCAAACTCTTGGAGCAAGAGGTCACGACCAGCTCAACTCATGTGGTGCCTGTCTTCACCTCCCCTGGAATGACAGACAAATCAGGGCAAGTTGTGGAGATCGAGGGTAACGCAAAGCCAGAGGAGCCTGTGATCTCAAGCCGGTCAAAAGGAAGCATCTTGCCTGGGCAGCTTCCTGGGGCTGTGCTCCAGGAGCAGCCGAATGGAAAAGACGGCAGCTCTGGCTCATCGGATAGATCGGCGCATTTCTTAGAGGACTCGAAACCACTTGGTGCGGAAGAACCGCTTCGGCTGACTGACCTGTCCATTGCCGGAGGGAAGTGGCACCCGGGAAGTTGGCAGCATGAGCTTAGCTTCCTGCTCCTCAAGAAAGCTGGAGAGACTTACCTGGTACTTGCCAAGGCCAACCGAGATGCTGAGAGATATGGGCTAGCCCTTCACTTTGCCCACATGTCCTTATTTTGTCAAAGTAAGAACCACCACACAATTATCAATCTTATAATCATTTCACTGAAGCTGCATGACGGATGGAGCTTATGTTTGCTGCACTGAAGCCGTCCTACTTTTTTAATACCTTAAGTCTCTTGGATCATACGTAAATTTTCTCTGTTCAAATTATGTAAACTAAGGAACTGCCAAATGTTGGTCATCTTATGCGCTGTTGCAGAAGTTGAGATTACATTTCGAAAGCAATTTCAACTATGTGAAATAAAATCTAACAGGGAATTTCCTCCACAGCTGTAAGATTGCAGTAGTTTCTCCATGAGGAGAATTGGCTTGAGATTGTTGGGATCTTCTCATCCAAAAATAATATCTTGCACTCAGTTGGAGGGATCCATGTCTAGAGGTAAGAGAGTTTTCAGTACTTGCCAAATTTCATCTTCTGATTAGTATGATGATCTTTACGCCCCCCCATAGGTGCTTGTCAGTCAATGGACGATAGATCATCGGTGAACCTGCCAGATCCGAGCAGCGCCCTCAATCTCCTGAGCGACCAGCTGGCGGTGTGCGGCGACTGCCTCACCCTTCTGACACACAACCTTGTCTCCTACGTCAGACAGAGAGAAGACTTCAGGTACTCGACTGCCGAGGATCGCCTGATCCTGAGCGAGGCTCAGCAGCACCATCTGACCAATGGTGGGTGTTACTCCCCTATTGATATGTAAAGCGAAATGCGTGACCCCGTCTTTGTTGACGAAATTTCTGAAAAATATGATCTGAAGGTTTGCTCGGTGGATGTAGCAATGTGACCAGGGTTGGCGGTAGCACCGTGTGAAATCTGTGCGGAGTGAGCGAAGTTCTGGAGAGAATTGTTGGACTCAACATTTAAGACAGGAATTTATTAAGTGTGGGTAACGAAAACGACGGTAAAACAGCACGTTTTCCAATCTGGATAGGATTTGTCAGTTTCATCTTTCTGTCCTGTTTGGATAGACCATGAATGGGCGGTTGATTTTCGTAACGACACTGAGCACAACTTAAAGACCAGCATACAGTGCTACACACTGGCGCTGAGTGAAGGCACCGGCCGTGGCGATGATTATCTGACAGCTCTCAGGAGGAAACAAGGCAACGCCCATAACGAGCTGGGAGTCTGCTACATGAACCAGGCACTAGCAATGAGAAATGAGGAAGGTATGCCCCTCAAACTGTGAGAAGCTATAAAACTGATCTTGTAAGGGGTTTGAAAGACAGGTTTATCTACTTAAGGCAGAATATAGCAATTAGCCGGGGACAAGCCCCATGTTGTTATTCTGGCTTCATTTTGACTTGAGTCATCGGGCTATGTGACAGATTTTATTGAAAATAGGGGTTCAGACGTATGCTTTCTGAAGAACTAGGCATAAACAATACACCTTACCTTTGCTTGTCTTCAACTGAACCTCCAAAGGTGACTGTGATGGAAAGATGGTTGTTTGGTGTAGACGCCACTTGCTCCATGCACTAATGTGTAGTTGCTCAATCAATTAAGACTGAAGGGGTTGTTTGTTAGAGTCAGGTGTCCAGTTTAGTGGCATTTCGTGGTAAATTTGCTGTAAAACGCTGAATATTCACCCGGGACGGTGTGCTCTCTTTTCCTGTCGACAGGTACCTTTCAGGAGGAGCAGGACCTGTGGTACAAGAGCCTGAGGTGCTTCGAGTCCGGCATCAAGATATTTGAGAGCGTCAAGGACACTGCCAACATCTCGCTCCTGCTCTGCAATGTGGGCAAGCTGATGCGACTGTGCGCCTTCAGCTGTGGGGAGAGCGAGCTGTACAAGAGGAGCGAGATGAGGCAGCAGGAGCGCTACTACTACAACAAGGTAGACAGAAATATTTCAACTGATGCGGTTGCAAAAGTCAACTCAAGTAGTCCAGCTGTCCTGTATTTGGAAGATGTTTGCTACATTTCCTTCCTTCCTTCGTAAGGCATGTAAAAAGCCATAGAACTAAACTTCGCTTCTCAGAAGGCCATAAAGAGTCCTTGGAGAAATCCTCAATTTTTTTGGACCCCTCTCCAAATTTTTGCGTCCCCGAATATGTGGATCTTGATCTGCCCTTGGTACTTCTTCGGTATTCTCATTTGCAACTCTTTCAGTGCCAGTTCTCAAAACGATGTTGCCCGTCTTTTGAATCTGGGCTTCATGTTTTGTCCAATTGAGAATCAACTGCCAATCCCAACTCTTCTCAGTGATACCCAGACAGATGATAGTGCATTTTGCCTCCTAATTTGCTAAATCCCATGCAAATCTCTGCTCCACTTGTGATCTCTGCAGGCTGTTGACTATTACCAGAGGGCATTGACCCGGCTTGGCCAACGTAAGAAGAACCCATCTCTTTGGGAGTCGGTCACCTGGGAGCTCTCATCAACATACTTTGCCATGGCAACCATCTTACAGGATCATCCTCCTCTGTCGTCCATGGCTCAGGAACAGGTATTCTCGAGACCGCAGAAAAAATACTTCTTGTCAATTTCAGTGGAGCAGGCATTAACTTAAGCGTCAGTCCTGTCCAAAGAGTGCCTATGCCCCTACACATTGGCCATATGCTAACTACGGCTTTGTGTGTCCCTTAGCCGTTTGTTGCGGGCGCCGGCAATCCCTCAGTATTTTCAATTTATCTGTTCACCAGATTGAGAAAGAGATCCTTGAGCTGATGAACAAGGCCCTGCAACTATGCGAAGTAGACGATATCACACCGGCCAAGCAGCCTGTCTACCAGTACCGCACAGCAACCATACACCACCGCCTAGCATCCCTGCATCACAATGCCTATAGAAACCAGGTAGGCTGGACCACTTTATGAGTGTCGAAATATCTGAAATCTCTTGTGTGAGCATTGTGCAGTAGGATTTCTCCAACCATCCACACCTTTAGGTATCCTTTCGGGGAAGAAAAGACGTTGTTGAAAGTTCACTCAACCTCATTTGCTGTACTTAGAGGAGTGTAACAGTCGGACAGACTGGGCAGCCACAACTTGGTAATGATGCTTATTCATTTTCAGATCTTGCCGGCAAGGGTGAGAGTTCTTCGGCCACGCCTCAGTTCTCAAGGTTGAATACATACGCTGTGGTTTAAGCCCTCAGAGTGTATTGCTTTTTTACTGTCCCAGAGCTTTCACACTGTGCTCCATCAAACCTTCAAACTGGAAGCTAAGGCAGCTCTAAACACATCCTGTGAAGTAGTAACATCAATTTTTGACCACTGACCCTTGCAGAGGCACAATTTTAAATCTCAAGTGTGTCATCACGATATGTTTTGCAAATCTCAGAGCTACGATTAGCGTTGCTGTTACTGACACTCAAAGAGGTTAGTTTTTATGATGTAATCTTGTTACTAATCCTGAAGATTCAAGCTTTTCTGCTTTGTCACTGGGTTTCCTTCTTTATTCCTCCGCAGTCGTCCCAGCAGAAGCAGAAGCACACGCGCTCCCTGGCAGAGCTGCACTATCAGAAGGCCATCAGGCTGTTTAGTGACCTGGATCGTCCCTCTGAGTTGTTGAGGGTTCTTCTGGAGAGAGTGGCCCTCCTGGAACATCAGTTTGAAGGTAAATAATGGGACCAAATTGACTGGCTGCGGCTGAGATTCGCACACGAGTCTATGGGAAGTGGCTACAGCCACTTACTAATGGCTTGCACAGGTGCATGTTTTATTGTCGTGAATCTTCCCTGAATCAACATGCCAATATTGTGTGCAGCATACTGAATTAGTTGAGTCAGAGAGTCAGTTTTCCAGTTTCGGTGTTTAAGTTGTCCAATTTTTCATCTTTACATAGCTGCATTTACCCACGCATAAAATGTAACAGGCATAGTATGCCTTGAACAATGTTGAATGTTTCATAGTTGGAAGATGACCTCATTGATGACCTTTGATATTAACAATGTCTGTCTCCCATGTGTACAGGATTTCTAAGGGAACATTTCAGATGTCTAATTTTATGGTACATTCTGTCCAATCTTTTTACTCCTCACTACACGAAGCAATCTTTCAAGTACATGCAAAAAGCATCCTAACCGCTTGTTGGCTTTGTCAGGTCAGTCTGGGGTCAGTGCTCGCATCAAGACCCTACAGTCAGCCCTCGAGGCTCTCCTGCAGTGCAGAGATGCACTGAACGCATTGCAGAAGGCGTGGGGCAAGGAGGCAAGAGAACTGGGCATGCCCACCAGCACTGTGCAAGACGCCGGCCGAGTTGACTCGGATGTCGTTGAGCGTGGTCGGATGTCACCGAAGGCACAGGTGGATGTCGGTGAGTGGTCTCGTTCTAGCGATGATGAGACCGCAGACCCTAAAGGGACATTGTCAGAGACGGATGTGCCCAACTCGGGAACGAGAAACTTGGGAGTTGATCCTCTCGAGCGGCAACGGAGGACAAGTGAGGAGGAAGCTGTTGAGGATCCAGGTATGCACCAACCGGCCCCGGGCAGCTCTGAGACAGGAGCCAGCAGTGCCGGAGGTCAGGGGTCACAGCCAGAAGGTCAGGGTTCAAAGGTCAAGGACAGACTGAGCAAGGAGGAGGAAGAGGAACGGCAGAGGCTGGAGTCGATTTGGGAGTCCAGGCTGCAGTACATGCTGCGGAACCTTGTCAAGTTGCATAGCACCAACAAGAAAGGGTAAGACGGAAAGTTGAAATTTTCGACTTGATGAAAATGCCGAGTCACTTGGATTCCTGATCCACTCAGTGTCCTGTTGCACTCATAAGTTTAGAGATATTCTTCAAGGTAAGAGGGTTTCACCTCTGGCTGGTATCCTGTGAGTTGTTCAGGTCTTTGAGCTCATCATGTCCATAATCCCTGGTACCCTGCCAATTACTAAAAGATGTGCAGCAGTTTGAGCTGCAAGTGTTACTGTCAGCGTTTGTTCAGGGTCTTAAATTCTGATGTCTGATATTTAGTTTTAGTTATGATCATTTCCTGAAAGGGAAGGTGATATTCATTCCTTAATTTTAGGAACATTTAAAAATCATTGAGAAATTGTATTTTGCATCCACTTGGCTTTCGATTAATGTTCATGAAATGTTCTGAACTACGCAACAACTCTCAGGGTCAGTGATACATTTCGAGGATGAATAAAACAGCCCCCAAAATTTGACTTTTGAAAATTTGAAAAGTTTTGCCGATCTGTAATTTTTCAGGATGCAGCAGGCCACCGCCTATAAAAAGATGTATGCAGCCTCCTTGGGAAGGACCCTGCCAGCATCGTTATCGTCAGTCCCACCATCTCCTGCCTCGTCGACTGAGAGTCCTGTGACTCTCCTGAGCATCTTGGATGAGGTGCAGCAGTTGTTCCAGGCCATCAACTGACTAGGGGTCGAGTCTCGACTCGGTATTGCCACGGTTCGACAACATTTCTAATGTAAGTGCTCTCTTATTGTGCAACCTACTCAAAGTCATTTTTCATTTAGTGGAAAAATTAATTTCAGCTCTAACTGCCTTTAGTATCGTCATTATTATGAAATCTTCTTATATGGTTGAACCTAAGGATTCCTCAAAAGTGTTCTTAGCCCTTTGACTTGAGGGGCTGACAGAGAAAAAAAATACTGAGTGGAGACGGCTTGTTCAGTTTTTATTGACGGAAATGTGGAGCAACCACTCACAGACAAAAACGGAACTTGACTGGTACCGAAAATGTAATTGATGTGTCGGCTTGGGCAAGATTCGAACCACGGTTGCAGAGATGGAAGATGAAAACTGCCAATGTGGCTCAGGTGTTTCGTCGAGGCCTTTTGTTGCCACCCCTTTTCGTTATATGCCCCGCCCTCCATGATACACATGAGACTGTGTTTACTGGGTTGGGAGTGATGTAATTTTTGACGGAAAAAACAGGTAATATATCAAACTTTCTACCCAGAATAGCATTTTATTTTAACTAATGGAGAAGCCATAGTAAGTTGAATGCCATACAAATAAATCATGCAATACTGTAACAATGTGCAATAGAAGTTAATGCAACATTACCTCTCAAACCTTTAGGCTGACTTCAAGAGATGTTACTCGGAGCTCTCAAGTTGGCCAGTCCTGTATAATTTAAATTGAATTCCTGCCTTTATGTGCATATGTTACAACGTACAACTTTGATGTTTCAGTGGTTAACGTTAAAGTCGGAACGAGGTGGATGTTTGTTTTTGTGTTCATCTGTCATGGGAACAGATGATTCTGAAAGACATGCCGGTAAATGCCTCGGTACATTTATCTATCCATTTTGGGACAGGTAAATCGTTTGTGGTTCTTCTTTTTTTTCAGGATTTGGCAGAAAATAGTTCTTGTTAAATAAACCAGGAAAGACTAATATTGTATTGAAGTAAAAGACGTAACCGAGAGAATCAAATCACATTGAAATGTTCACCGAAGCTATTTTATTAAGCAATGCTAATTTAGCAGTGTTATTGATAAGATACATCACGACTCTATTCACAGTTTTGGAGATGCGTCTAAATTTCCAAAAAGCAATGTCAAGTGAACTCTTCAATCTCAAATCTCAAAAGAGATAATAGTTTATTGATTTGAGTCAGTAATTAGACTTGAAGTGAATTCCCATGATGAGGTTGTTGAACGATGATATGTGAAATGTCTGGACATTTTTCAATGCTTGCACCAAGGCACTTTCGAATGATCAATTAGATGTATGAATGCGTATCCATGTCTGGTCCTTCGAGCTGAAAATCCACAACCAATTCATGTCATTTGAATAGCCATCCGTATTATGTATCACAGTGTTCATCTTTTTTTGGGTGACTGACTGGAAGGGCTTTTTGGTGCTGTCCTTCCGTTCGACTTGTAGCAAAACACACCCAAACTGGGCCTTGTGCCAACAACGGCGATATCAATGATCGTTGTTCACGCTCAAAGGGTGCATAAAATACCAATTCATAGCGTGCAGAACTGCCAACGTAAAGAACGAGACCGCTGTATCGATCAACAAATCAATAATTCCCTGAAAAAAAAGAAAAAAAAAGGAAGAAAGAACAGAAAACGACAGGTTGGCTGCGTCTACATGTATTGAACAATAAAAAAGTCGCCAAACGTTTAGTTTATGCAACTGTCCTTCTGTTTTGTTTCAAAACATTTTTTTTCACAGACTGTCTTCAGGATTTTATTCACGTCACGTTTGAAATAAAAAGGGGGTAACGAACCTAGCAACCGCTCGGTTCAGTTTGTACGATTTAATCGTTATTGTGTAAAGCCGTTCGTTGATTCCCGAATTATTGCCACGAGTACCTTGATCTATCCCGGTAAACATTCTCGATGGCATCGGTAGAAATGAAACAAATTGATCGTTTGTAAGAATGATTTGGGGTGACGAAGTATAACCAGTACGTGGAAGCCGAATCAAGCCGATTGATTGCGATGTGGAAGCCGAATCAAGCCGATTGATTGCGATGTGGAAGCCGAATCAAGCCGATTGATTGCGATGTGGAAGCCGAATCAAGCCGATTGATTGCGATGTGGAAGCCGAATCAAGCCGATTGATTGCGACGTAGGGTAGAATAAATGCAGATTGTCGCGATTATGTCAAGAATAGTAGAGGAATAACTCGAGAAATATCCAGAATGACTGAGAATTATGGCAATTTCAAAATCTGAATGAAGTTATTATTATATTTGTACAGTTCTTGACCCGTGTAACGATTTGGTATGATTCTGGTCTGTTTAACACCAAGAAGTCATAATAATCTTACGGAACTTGCAAGAATTCCATAGGAATATCCAGTTGCAAATAACAAACTAACCACGAATTACAATTTGTTCCTAAATCACTCCGACAGTTTTGAACCTGTCTAAAATTGTCGGGGCACTTCCAGAAATTTCACCGATCTTTCAATTCGGCTTTGAATCGTAAATGTGCGAATCAACCTTTAATAATGGCTGAAAGTCCGGTTGGTAGCCTATTATTGCGTCTCACGGACTGGAGATTCGCACGAAATGCAGAGCCTTAGCCGGATTACCTAATCCCTAGCAACGGCCAGCTTTGGGGATGCTTGCCTGCAGATCACAGGGTTCTGCTTTGGGTATTAGCAGGGCCCAGCTGACAGACATGGGGTTTCATCCTGCCGTGGCTTTTGTCTCTAAGTCACTTAGTCAGTACCCGTGCACGCACGGCGAGGGGAGAGCGCGCACGCCGCGGGGCGCCTCGGCAGGCAAGAACAGTATCCCGGGACCCGTTGTTGCGGTCCGTCTACTCGTGGTGCAGGGAAAAAAAAAGAGGGAAGATCTGCCCCTGACATGTTGCCACGGACTCTCAGAGATTGAATAGCCAGGACTTGTTTACTTTACTTTGGGTGAACAACCAGGGCTTAAAACGCCTTCGGGCTTTTTTTCTCTTTTACGGCAGTCGAAGGCCGGCTACACCAGGCTGAAACGGCGCGCATCTTCGCTGCATGTTCGCTCTAAGAAAACAGTCCTCGCACTTTATCAAGACAAGATTACAAGAACATGCACTTTGCCTGAGCAGTCAAAATCGTGAAGGTCTTATTCTCTAGCAAACGAAACTTAACTCTCATTTCCTATAGGCCTACCTGGCTCTTAAATCTACACTAATTGGTGTTATTTTTTCTCTCTGTAGCATCATTGTTTCTCTATTGTAACTTAGCGCGCGGTCAACAACCCAGTTTTCCAAGGTCTTGTTTTGCTTTTTGGACTAATCTTCAGTATCTTCACCGTTTACCAGTTTTTGCATGTTGTCTTTCTAGTCAGTGGAGATGGGGGGGGTGGCTTGGAAAGGCCACTTTTCCAGCTTTAAATTACTTCTGTGTTTTTGTTTAAGTAGGCTTGTGTCATATTTTCAAAACTGCTGAGACATCCGTCAGTGTCGACCTAAATGGTGGGAAACTGAACAGAAAAGAGACGATATCCGGCCATCAGCTCGATTTTTTTTTTGGGGGGGGGAAATCACCCCCGTCTGTCCCTCTGCACAACAACATCCGTTGTGTGGCCGAACCTTTCATGGCTTCCCTCAGAACCACGGGGTTTCATTTGGCACGATCTTTTGCACGCAATACGTGTCCACAAACATGAGCGATCGAGCATTACAGGAGTGTGATTTCCTTTAACCTGTCACAGTGCACCGTACACGAAGATAAATGATCAGGTCCAAGATTGGGATTGGTGTCCGTTAACACTTCAATGTGTCTGAAAAAAAATCACTTTAATGGAGTCGCATAGTTGTCCAGTAATTTCGTCAAAAGTTTTTGTTGACCTGTGTGCAAATTTAACTACTGTTACGTGTAATTTCGAGCTCTAATCTCTGTAGCAAACAAAGTGAAATAATCGTAAAATTAATTGCATGTATTTATGACCCAACTGAACAAAATGAGTTCGAAGTTCTTTTTATTAAATAGTCGATAGCATGTGCTTTGGGAATAGTTATAATAAATGAGAAATGTCTGACGTTTAGCCGTCGTTTCCATGTTAATCTACTAAATAAAATGTACTGAAAAGTGTGAGAAATAGTACGAAGCCGCATGCAAGTATAACTCTTCGAATGAACCCCCAAAATTGAACGACCACTCAAAACGAATGATGTAACTTGAACTAAGGATGAGTTCGAAATGAAACCGAAGTGAAAACGAATTTCAGGTCGAGTTCGGGCGGAATGTTCTTGACATTGGTTTCTTGCTCTACGGCTCGAACTTCGACAACACGACTCAAGAACACTGTTGTCGGAACCGACGACCACACACCACCTCTCAGGATTTTACTGGAACACACCAAAAAACTCGGGAGATTTTGCTTTTTTGAACAGCCGCAAAAAAATAGCGAGATGGCTCACAAAGCCGGAGACAATGGGAAGTTTTCACAATACATGTAGTTATTTTTCATAAAAAAATAAATGTTCCTTTTTAAATAGAAAAGAATTCAGCCCAGCTTTCTAGAGTTTACTCTGAAAGAACGCACATGGATGCCACCATGTTGCATGCAACAACCAGCAATAACCGGTTGTACGTTCCCAGCGTTCGAGCGTCCGACTAACGAACTACAAATCGAGCTGTTCGTGAACCCACGAGAACAAGCTACCCAAATTTAGCGTCAACGCATTTAATCATGAACCAAGGGAACTCCAGCGCGGAGCAAATTCGACTGAATTTTGCCCACTGAACGTCGATTTGAATGACATTTGTTTCTACAAATTTGGCCGGGACAGATTTTTGGGAGATGAGGTCCCAGGTAATTGGGTTTATCCTTGAAATCCTTCCACGTCACGCTCCAGGGGGACTGGTTGATTTTGTTCGGGGAGCGCTCTGCAAACAAACCCTCGCCAAAGAGAGAGAGAGCGACCAGTTTGCAAACACTTGTTTTGATAAGACGGGAAAACATTGCGTGCTAAGAAAAATAGTCAGCGAGTTTACCGCGTAGAGGAATACAATGCTCGATCTGGAGGCCAATTGGTCCTCCTCAAAACATTGTAATTTTTTGGTAAAGCCTCGTGGTGTGACGGGAGAATTTTGAAATCATAGCGCTTGAGCGCAGACGACAGTGTCGTATTGCGGCTGTTACATACGCTACCTGCCCATTTACACAAAATAAATTTTAATCCTTAATGGCTTAAGTTTCATTGATGCTGCATAAAAACGACCCGTTTGTAATAGGTTAAAAGCTGTAGGCCCTAACTTGCGAAAAGCATCGAAGACCACAAATGATATGAATTGCGTGGTGGAATTGAAAGTGCTGTCATGTTTTGCTAGGGCTCCCTCTCGCGACTTTGAAAAAACTTAAGATGTTGGTACAACCTGTCTGGTCGATTCTGATACTTCACCTTATGCGTTGTTACAGTTTTTAGTACGGCTATTGGCTGTCTCATTGACAAATAGTCTCCCCATGTTGCGCTCGCTTATCACTAAAATTTTATACATTTTGTAATCTCTGAGTGAGATGTCAGCAAGATAAAAAGATTGCCTTAATGTTAGACACGAACCAGTGGTACATAACTCACTGTAAACGACTTCCGCGACCGCACAGTAATTCCCCAACTCGGGGCAATGAATGTTTCGACTTGGGGTGATTTTTTTTTTTGCCGTTGGGCTGTCTTTCCCGCTCACGATAAACACAGTGCTCCCTTCTGGAAGAGCCTAACAATTCAGCCTTCGCACGCAACGGCCTTCTGCACCAGCACTTTCACCCCTAGAGCGTTCATTCAACCTGGCTCGACTCGACCCTCGCACAAAGTCAGTGTGCTCCAAGTGCTATCCATCTCGCCCATCGGGGAAGGTCTTTCGCGCACGCCTGCCTGCGTGTGGTCACATTAGCGGACTTACCGTTTTATCATTTTTTTTTCAAACCCCAGCCATTCATCACCGGTGGTGTAAGCGTAAATACTCAAATTGTGTATATCGCTCCCGGCGAGTCCGAATAATTGCTGTTTACGTTAATAATTCAACCTTTTCTCGTCAGTTTTCCTGCGACTGGGGGACGGTGGCTGTCTATTCCTTGTCAGTTCGAACTTAGCACGCGTCAAAATACGAAGGTAACTCGGTTAATGTTTGCACTTGCGCGCTATTTTAACAGAAATTCATGTTGGTATGACGGGAAAATCCAGCACTTTTGGACGCTGAAAAAGAAAGGAAATGTTGGTGTTTATCAGTTGTAAAGTGTCCCGAGGAAAGCACATCTGTCTTCAAGGTCTGTCCGACGATTGCGAGGAAGCGCGATCTAACTTTTGTCAGCTTTGAGAAATACCTCTTTCTGAACTAAATCTTGAACCCCCCACTCAAAAAACACACCCTGTTACGTATTGAGAAATTAACAAACAAACTGACTCTTGAAATTTGTTGTAAGAAATATTATAACTCTTTTATTGATTTACGAAGTCCATACAACGGACACTTAAAGCATATCACAATCATAAATTTATAAAGTAATTTTTTGAAGTTATTTTTTCACACAAAGCGCACTTTAAATTATTGTATAATGTCCCCGTAATATACAGCTTCGACCGAGGATGTCGGCTACATAAACAGAACTGACATAAAAAGAAGACGATTTGTACATATTTTTTTGTACAGTCCTTTCATGTACATTCATAAGATTAAGACTGTCTATAAAGTAATTTGTAGAGGAAGGGACTTGGGTGAGTTTGTCAGGTCATTATGAAACGTTCAACATTCTACCAATTCAAAGTGAATTATTCACGTGAATAAAAGTTCGCTGTCTGCGACATAAGGGAATGCCAGAGGAAAAAACCTTACTTTGAACACACTTGACGACTGTGATTAATATACACAAGTAGTCTGCAAGTTGTCATAATTTCCCCGTCGTCATGAGGGTTACGAGGCTGAGTTTATATAAGGAAATCACTGCTAGATTTTCCCCAAAATGTGCTATAACGTTGCATTATACTTCCCATCACTTCCTTCAACCTTTAAGAAGATTATTTCCAAATAGTCTATTTCCGACACTTATAGCATAATTTTTCGTGGCATATCATGGAAGAAAGTTTCCATTTTTTTTTCAACAGTACATAATCTCTCCCACATTCGTTTTGCATTGGAAAACAACATCAAATTTCAGGTAACAAACACAATGTGTATGCAGTCAAGAGGGTTAGTGTTAAACAATAAATAGTTGAATAGAATTTTATTGGTTTATAAAGCGAGTGTTCATTTCGTGCCAGACAAAGAAACACTAAAGCTAGGCCTACGATTCACTCTTGTCGATCTAACACACTTAAATAGAGGCTTTAAAGAAACATTACACAGGTCATTTCTAAGCTTGATGATGTCACGATGACGTCATTAGTTGGTATCCTGTTCCCATCACCATTTTCAATTCAAACACTCACGGTTTACGTTATCAAATTAGTAAAAACCAAGATATTTGTCAAAAGTGCAGCTACTTTTCACTACTTAAAACGGCGTAAGCAAACATTCTTAAGATAGGCCTACTAATTATGCCGGTCAATAAACCATTGGAAATAGTCGATGAAAAGTTTGTCGGGTTGTATTGCCATGGGGACAAACAGCGGACAATAAACTATGTACAATAATATTAGTACATTTCTAATCTACTGTAGAGAAGAAAAATATAAATTTTATTGCTTGTACAAACTTGTTAATTATACATTTATATTCATTATTTACACCAATAATAAAAATGGCCATTTCACCTATAAGCAAATATCACTTTACCCGACAAACTTTTCGACACTGCGTTTGCCTCGATTCAAATCAATTCAAGTATATCATCACTATTCTAAGAGTGTTCCAACGGAGCGATGTGAAGTGGTATTTCTCGTATTGTATATGGACATAATTTATGTGGACCGAAGTGTGGGATAAAAGACGGAAACAGGGTGCATTGTTGCATTGGAATTCTGAAACAAAAAATGCACATATGCGGGTAAAACTTCCGGTTCTTACAGATCACAAACTCTAACAACCGACAGGAAGTTATTGACAACAACAGCAGTCAAGTCTTAGTTTTGGAGGCCAGTTTTCATGTCACAGGTGGATTTGTTTAGAATTACAGGAAAACGCCATAGACTTTGAATTGAATTTGAAAGCGATTTCACTCTTCATTTCTGAATGTTGAGAGTACAAATGAAGCAATCAAATGATATTTCATGACCAGTTTGCACCTGTCTACTCTGATGATTTTAAATTCTTGATTGAACACATAGAATTGTACATTGCCACATTCTGAACATTTCTGAAAGGGAGGCTTGGAACGCACGGAAGTATAAAACAGTCTGGTGCCATCCTAATCGACAGTTTGCAATATGTAAAACAGATTTTGGGAATAAGATCAAAGATGGCCTCCACCTAAATAGGGTCTATTAAGCTGGGAATTGTCAAAACACAGTACGTGGCAAGCAGAACTTTTCAACAAGTCCGGTCTCAGACGGTAAGATATCGACAGCTACATTTCTGCTGTTTTTGTTAGTATAAAATCATATCAGCGGTCAGTGTTGGATTTCTTCTGAAAAAAAGACGTTAGCGCTAACTCTACTCGGCACATTTGCATTGGTATGCGTCGTCGATATAGTACATTAATAATTCACGTGGGAGAGAAGGGCCGATGTGCAGTGGAGTGTTATGGGCCGCTCCGGGACGAGTTTACCCACCGATAAACGTGCACTCACACACAATGCGCAGTTGTAAAGAGTGCTCATAGGGGGAAAAATAGTATGGAAACTTCGCACATGCGCAGTTTTCATACAGGCAAACTTAGCACAACAGCAAATGGACGGCAGTAGATTCGTCATAATGAAAATACTCCTTCTTGAGCGGGTGATCATAACTTTAACAGGCGGTGGGCGTAAATTGCAATTTACAGTACCTTACACTATTTATAGTTAAAACCGACTAATGTATCGGAAGAAACTCCTATTTACAAATCGATTTAAAAACTGCTAGAAGAGATCCTGAGACTGCACCCTTTAAGTTCCTTCCTGAACTCAAATGCTGGTAAAAACGAAACGTCTTTTGCAGGTGAAAAGAAGAAGAAGTCTAAAACAATCTGGTATTATGACAAAAATGTCTCACGAATGAGGTTGCATTCCATTCGAACTTGATAACCTGCAAATAGGCCATTAAAAGGCATTAAAGTGTTTCTTTGTTACTGTGGTGGATTTTTCAACCATTCTCTTCTTAAAGATAAATTGATATACATGTATATATATATATACTGTACAGAAAATTCACTCCACAGATAAGATGGCAACTAAACACATCTGGCGAAAGAGGAAAAGTAAATAAAAAATTTTAAAAAAAGATAAATAAGTTCATAAAACAAGTAGAAGCCAATAATATAAACAAGACAGATTTACAGATTTTATCTTTTGATACTTCCTATTCGCAGTTCTTTCTACTACGGACAAAACTTCCATTTATCCTGTTCCTCTGACGCCTTGAAAAAAAAATGGGTAGAATTTTTTCACCCGTTTTTAGTTTCTTTATTTGTTCCTAGCCCCCCCCCTGTGACGGACTGGGCGCCGTAACATTCCGATTGCACATTTTGATTCCCTACTATCTCGCACGGTACGCACGCATGTACACGAACTTTGTGATACCTTTCTACGAAAGCCCTGTGGTGCCATCAAGTATATAGTTTCAAAAAGTGAAGTATAACTTTTCCAAATTTGTTTGTGCGGAGTATAGTTTTCAGCTTCATTTTTCTAGCTATATATTCTCCAGTTCGTTCTTATGAGATCCATATTTAGAAAGCTTTCTTTCCAAAAATCGTTTTTGCCAGATATTTTGTCCATGCTCTTGCTTTAAGGAAATATATACTTAATGGTAGTACAAGGCTTTCCTACCTTTCAGTGTCTTTTGTGGTCAAACAGCCGGGCTTTTCCTGATTCATCGAACGGCTTCATTCATGGTTTGGCTTCAAGCTTTATAGGGCTGTGGATTATTTAGTCTCCTGAGTTCCTTTTCTGCCAGAGAGACCTCCAACCTTCCAATGTAAGGCAGACATTGTATTTTGAATACGGGCGTTTCACAATTAGTGCGCCTCCAAGAATTTGCAACACGTTGGCAAATCACAATGCGCGAAATCTGTCGACCCTTTCCAAACGCGCATTGGGTCGACATATTTCACGCATTGTAATTGTTCAACGCGTTACAAGCTCTTGGAGGCGCACTGTTGTGAATCGCCCGTACTGGTTTCATTTACAAACTAGCCGAGAGCGACATGTCACTCATGTACACGTCATTTAGTTGTAACCGAACATCCGCATCGACTAAATGTGACAAACACGACGTTTTTACGGAAAAAAGCCCTGCAGCTAGCGCGACCGAATTTCATCATAGCTGCTGCATACAAGTACGGAAGAGCTGAGTAGACGTTGATATTAAGTCTATTGCCGTTTCGAAAAACCCAAACAGAAGGTCAAACGGAAACGATTTTACGGAAAGTTCGAGTCGATAGTGCGCGTTGACCGTGACAGTGATACCATCCTTTTTGGCTTTTTTTTTTACTACACGTCACAGATATTGTTCCATCGCTGGTTCCATTGTTGGCCAGGTCCCACCTTGTTTACCACCGTACTTAGGCCGGGGTTGTAAGTCTCATTCTCCCAATAGACGTCCCCTTTGAAGAAGAACAATTTCCGACTGTGTATGGAGTAGTAGGCAGCGTCAATGTCCCCGGGCAGACCGCTGGTCATGTTGTACCGGTAGGGATAGGCGGTGCTGATGGGCATCGGGTAGTTGTCCAGACAACAGCCATCGGCTTGCATATCGTAGGCATACACCTGTCGGCAATCGAGAGACATAAAAATTCTTAAAAGATGTCGATATGAACATATTTTTAACATCAAGGGAAGGAGGTGCTGAAAAAAAAAACATTGAATTGTTTCAGGGCTTATGTTGGGAACACTTGGCCATTTGTATCAGGAAATTGACAAGTGAGTCTCAACACGTTTAGAAAAGCAAGATTACCAGTAATTTTAAACTTTGTTCCCGTTTTAAGCACAGCAACTCAGTAAGCGTAAGTGAGGTTAACAGTAACAGCTGCGAGACTTTGAGACGCTGGTGGCAGCAGCCATATTAGTTTTCTCACACCACTGCGCGTGCTCAGAACTATGCACGCATGCTCAAACTGGTAAAAAGGGACAGGTACGTTTGGCGCCACCAAGCATTTTAAAGTATCCCATTACTTCGGCATTACTGTATTAGCCTGTGAGTTCATACCTGATTGCCCTTGAAGAAGTAGACGTTGCCGTCTCTCTTGTCGTAGTAGGCCGTGTCGATGTTGTCTGGGATACGAGGGAAGCCCGGCTTGGCCGGCCAACCCTGGGCGATCGACCTGCCGAAAGTGCCGTCCGGATTGGCCATCACGGCACGAGTGGCACTATTGATTTGGTAGTACTTGTTGCCTGCAATGGCACACGATTGTTTTGCTGATCGATTAGCCTGTCAACTACATCAATAAATGCATGCTGACTAATTGTAGCAAAATGTAACGAGTGACGCGAAGATCCTAGGGCATGACTTCGTACACACCAGTTCAGGCACATAGGTCATCTCATCTGGGGCAGATCGTGACCCTTTCGATTAAGCAAAGAAGGCTACCCCGGTTAAGAGTGAGAATTATTTCTGGCAAACACTGCACAGGGAAAGTGCCATTACATGTAATAACTATGAAGTGAGCTTGCAACAACGGTTTCGGAGTTAGTGCATCTTGATATAGGATGTGCCATAGAAATTCGAATGCCCTAATTGACACTGGTGTGTCTTTGCTTCGGCCGAGGACTCTAAGAAACATCCGTCAGCCAAATAGGAGCGACAATGGAGACCTACGTGGCACTTTCTTAAAAGCTATAGGTGGGAGTTTTGGGAGAGCATTTACCTTTGAAGAAGTACAGGTCGTCGGAGGAACTGGATCGGGACAGAATCTGTAGGGTGGCGTCGAGGTGGGTGGGCACGTTGGAGGCCCACATGTCGTGCACGGTGCGGGGGTCGCCCGTCTTCACCCGGTTGTTGGTGTTCTCGTAGACCCACAGGGCGTCACCCCGGAAAAAGAGAGAGTTGTACTTTTTCCTGTTACCCACCCAGCGCACCCAGTCCAGGATGGTGTCAAAGGAGCCCGCACAAACACCTGAAGGAGGGATCAGGGTAGAATTTGCAAAGGTTAAATACCAAATTCAAAGAGACAGGAACTGATCCACAACCCATCCAGAGTAGGATAAGGATGACCTCCCAAAATGCTCTCCTAAAAAGCCTTTGAATTAGTTTATAACATAGAAATTAAACAATGTTTTACTGTACTCTGCAATGTAGTTGGTCTTTCCAAAACATTATACTCAAGGCGTGAAGAGTATAATCTTGTTATCGGAGTCTCGTTCCTGGTTGGTTCGCTCTGAATGCCAGCGTTTATGAGTATCGGCAAAGCTGCACAAAAGTGGACTGCGCCCTGTCTAATTATATAACCCTCCCCCAAACAACCAATCATTCAATTACCGTGAATGGCCTGGGCTCTTGTCAGGCTCTCGTTGTCGATGGATACCCTGAAGTTGGAATCGGTGCTTTCGAAGGGGATGTAGACGGGGTACATGATGGACTGCTCGATGTCGCTGTGGAACAGGCCCAGCACGTGACCGATCTCGTGCACGGCTACTTTGATCAGGTTCTTGCCCTGATGGGAATTGTACGTCCACTGGACGTCGTCATTGAAGTGGATGGCCTCGTTGGTGGCTGTTCGTGTGGTTCGCGCCAACTCTCCGCTCGCGAACTGGAACGTGAAGTCACCGCTGTTGACTGCCGGAAGAAAAAGGAGTGGAACAAGACTGAGCTGTGAACTGAGATTTGATTGGTGGTATACACGCTGAACAAAGTTTCAAAAATTGGAACGAGAATGTTGGAAATGAAGAACCTCAGATGGGCTGAGAAGCAATAAATACTGCTCAGTGTTTCAATTTAGACATGTTTAACATTCTGGTTATAATCACCATAATTTGCTTCCCGAAACGCACCGTGTTGCAAGGAGCCCTTCCCAAGAGAGGTAGAGGGGCCCCAGTTGTTATCTAGTCAATCCCAATTAAGCCAGGTCATAGAGACGTCATAAGTCAGGTCACAGCACAGGTCACTTGAACTAAAGAATGTACTCACGTGAATTTAAGAATGAAATGTGAATGTTAACATGCAGGAGATCTCCCAACGGCATCTCGACGAATGTCACCGGTAACACCTCGGCCCACCTCCGAAAGGCTTGGTTCAGCTGGCTCCTCAAATCGTCCGCTGAGAAGTGCCGCGAGTAATAGTTGGAATCGATCTTCCAGCTTATACGGGATGAAGTGATAGCGGTGCTACTGGTACTACTGTTGGTGTCATAGTAAGACAGTCTCTTGGTCCGCACCTTGGCGGCCGGGTTACCGACGTCGCCGGTACTTCTTTTGCTGCGAGGGAGGTCAGATTTGCTTAGATGTGGCGTCGTAGCTGTTGTGAGCGTCGTGACGGCACGGGCTGGACGGGTTGTCGTCGCAAGTTCTTCGTCTACCGCGGTCACTGAGTCAGTGACGACTTCTGAGATCGGCTCCTTTGTTTTAGGGGCGCCCGGTCTTTGAGGGCCTTCCGAAACGGCTTCGCCCACGCTCGGATTCGGCCGAAGTGTTTGTTGGAGCAGATCGGAAATGGATATGGGTTCCGAAGCCTTTGACGCCCCACCTTTCAGCGTGGCCTGAGTCCTGATCGCCCCTTTGGCAACGGGCGAAGAGACAGTCGACCCAACGCCCGTGACGGACCCCGTTGATTTGCTCAGGAGTGTCGTATCGATCACGCCGCTGTCGTTGTTGACGGCTGTGCTGGCGGTGCCCTTACCGCCAACCGACATGTCCAGCTTCCCCGTGGTCTCTGCCGCCCCGCCCTTCGTTGTAGCCTTCGGGTCGGTCTTGACGTCGAACTTACTCGCGTAGTCGGGAACGCCGCACCGGGGCTGCTGCATGAAGCGCAGCGTCTTCTCGTCGATAGAGCCCGTCACGTCCAGCTTGTATCTCCGCTGGAAGTTCTCGATGGCCTGCTCGAACTTGACCCGCTCTTCCTGGGCAAGGGAATCGTTCTTACTGGCCGTCTTTGGGGAAGACTTCTCCCCTGAGTCCATGGTCTCAGCACTTTTTCCGGACGGTGCCGCCGTGACGGCCCGACTGTCTTGCCAGGATGTCTTTGATCTATCTAAGAACTCCCACTTTCCCTTTGCAGGATTATAGATCGGCATGTATCCATAGTTTTGGAGAAATTTCTGCATAGATAAGGGCACAAGCATAGGAAAATGTAACAGAGGTTTTTAAATTGTGTCACATATTCAAGATTCTGAAATAATCCAACAGATCACCGCACATACTGCGAGCACTGAACATAAAAATGCTTAAATGATTTCAACACAATTCATCAACAACCAAAGTATCAATGTACATGTGTTGAATTGACATTTTATTTGACATTAAAAAACAGAATAGGTCAAGTATTAGTGTATGATTTTGACCAAAATTAACTTTCAATTTTGAGAGGGGTGAGTAGTAAGTAGACGCTCGAAGTTGGGATCATTGTTTCTGTAGTTTACGTTGAGTTACATGTTTCCTGTGATTTTCACCGTCTTTTTCTGATCGCAAATGCACAATCGGTTTTCGAACAGGTGTTGTCAGAAGGCTGAGATGGGGGTATATTAGTAATGCAGGGGTTTCGTCCAAAATACAGCCGTATCATTCAAGGCCGGTGCTCACCATATTTTGGACGTCCTCGGAGTACAAATTGTTTCGTTTTTGGAAATTCGACAAACATGGCGGGGGGCGGGACAACAGATAACACCGCAGTTTTCTGCAAGCAAAATCTCATCATTTTCAGAGTATTATCTGAGGCAATGCACATGCGCGTTTGCAATCCAAAAATGAGGGCACGCATAGAACTCCTCTAGGTGAACGGCGCTGTGTATATACCCATGGAGCAAGTGTAAATGTGTACTTGGTGACAGGTGAGTTTGCATGGCAGTGATAGGCAGCTGTATAAAGACTCTAGTCACCCAGTGTGTTGGGCAAACATTGATGAGAGGAAAACCCTTCCGGTCTTTGATTCGGTCGATTCAAAAAGACGTCGGCCTTGTTACCGCATTGTTCCCTTTTTCTCGAGGCTCAGGGAAAAGGGTAAAGCCCGAGCCGAGCGATTGTACACTGTCGGAACCACAGGACCGAGCGTGATTAGGACTTTCATTATCGACGGCTAACCAAGCGTTTTGTATCCGGCAACATGACTTTCTCCCTTGCTTGTCAATCTTTCGGGTTGCCGTCCGGGAACGGGGAAAGCTTCACGATCTGTGTTCCGTGCTTTCGACGTCCAACACATCATCTTTTAGACATTGCGATACAGGTTTGCTTATTCGTGGGAATGGTACTCTTTTTTTCTTAATGAAGATCACTAAGGTCGTCAACAGTGTGCAAGTTTGCCGACTTTGAGTAAGCTGCAGGGAGGTTCATAATTTTGCCATAAACAAAAGGCTGGTGCAAGCCTTCTGCCAAGAAAAAGTTGGTAACCGAGACCAATCCGTCCGAGTTTCGTATTTGCATGTCCTGTTTAAGCTGCCATCTCCACCACTGACTGGCTCATACATAAAACACTTCTTTGAACGTCTGGATTCAGTTAGATTTGGAACGAGTGGGTCACAATTTTTTTAAGAGTTTGACGAACGATTTTTGCGGTTATTTATATCGCTTTCCAGTACAGAGGAATGATGTGTATACGTTATTAGTCCACAATTTGAAAAATTGTGGGCATGGATATACATCAAAAATAGGCTCTTTTGATCTGGGTTTATGAAAGGTTGTCGGTAACGTTGGAATAGTGAATATAAAAGTAATTGTGTGTTGAAAGAACAAAACGAACCAGGGTATGAACCAGAAGTGTCTTCCCATACAAGTGTGTTTAATACAATATGCAAAACGACACTGTTATAAGCATACATTCATCCATAGAATAAAAAACAAACTATTCTCCCCTTATAAACGTCGGTTGACTATTGGTCTATGGGATCATAAAATTCATCCATTATTATAGATAAATGTAGGTTGGCCATATTGTATGCAGGTAACTTGAAACTTCGAGTTCTCGTACCTTTGCGTCGTAGTCTTGGACGGTTGCCGGTGGCAACGTGCTCTGTAGCTCCGTGGCTTCGTCGGGCTCCAGGAGCTCAGTGGTGGGGGAAGACGCGACAATCGACGGCAGCTCGGCTGAAGAAGGCGTTGCTGCCGTAGGCGGCACTGGAGTAGATGTGACGAGACCGAAACAACCCAGCAACACCGTACAGGCGATGAGAACCTTAGTGCTTCTGTGCTCGTGCATGCTTGTCGACGTTGGAGATACTTTGACACTCGCTGAAGTCAGCAGACGAAAGCAAATCTTCGAAACAACAGGTTGACTACAAATCTCGCTTGTGACGTTTCTTAGTTAAAAAAAACAGTGCAAATAGTTTTGCAGTGCGTCTGCGCGGTACGTCGGCACGTTGAAAAACACACAAAATGAGATACGGATTCCAAAGGCTTCTGCTGTGGCTACTTCAGCTTCTTTCGAAGAGGTACCCCAACAAAAGTGTGGGTACTGTCAATGGAGCATGTGAGATACAAAGCGTAATGTACATTTGCGCTCTGTGAGATACCCTGTCATCTGATTCCACGTGGTCTGAAGACGGTGGCTTTCAGTCTGAGAAGAAAGTATCAGCAACTCGTCTGATCCTGCAAAAGATGTAAGGAGGGAATGAAATGCTTGGTCAGTCACTCAGCTCTCCTCCAACTTTGCATTCGTCAAAGGAAAACAAGTTAAACGCGCAAAAACCCTTCTCGATGCGGGTAATCTGCTGTTTTGAGCGCGTCAAACAGAAGCGCGATGCGAGCTCCGCGGAAGTAACGCTGCTCTCTCACGGAGTTGACTTCGGATTCTGAACCAAAACAGAGAGTGGCGGTGGGTATTGTACTGAAGGGTTCTCGAAACATCCCTCCTGAAAGATCAATGCGCTATTGAGCTTTGAAGCCGACCCTGTGCTGGCCGGAGCGAGGTGCACTCTTCAAAAAAAAAAAAAAAGATGGTCATTATCCCGTGGATAATACTACGTTAAACAGGGACACGTGGGAAACGCCTCCGAGAACTGCTGGGCATGATGATTGGTCTGAGCATGTGCAGATGGCTTCTTAGCCGTGCAGGTGGAATCGTGTGCCAATCGGCCTCGGCCAATCCAGCCCCCCCCAAAAAAAGTAAGTGATTGCAGGATGCATGAATGGATCGGCAAATTAAAACGCCGCAGGGGGAAACAAACAGGGCCGGGAGAGGGGGGGGGGGAGAAAACAGACATAGGAATCATCGCGTGAGTGCCAACACAAACAAAAATAAATAAACACTTGGCTAATTAGCGGCCAAATTGATGAGCCATGACGAGAACGAAGATATAAAGCGTGACATCCCTGGCCTGTACTAGATACCACTCACAGTCCTTTCTCTATGCTACTCTCAAGAGGAAGAAATGTGTTCTTTAAACCGGCGGAAATAGGGTAGAGTTTGTATGTCAGATCTCTCTTTTAAAATGGGCTCGAGATGGCAGCTTGATGGGGCTTGTCAATCACGAAGACACCGCGGGCCGGTGTTCAGGGTGGGTCTCGAGCTGGACGTGGTTAAGTCATCTTGGGTATAATGCAGGGATCAGTTCTCCGTGAAGGAAGCAAGCTGTGCACCCCAACCCGAGTGATGGATCTTACCTTTAATTATGAACAATCTCACCAAACTCACGACAAAAAGCCGGTTGTTACCAAAGTGCAAACAGATATTTGTAAAGCAGTGATTATGAATGAAAATAATACCAAATCGTAAAGTATGCTGTAAATTTGGACACAGACCATCAAAATGTGTAGAGAATGCAGTAGCTTTTTGTCGGTATTTCCCTCATGTACACCTTCGTGTAATTTGTAACAAGTTTAAAGACAAAAGCAAAAATACCGACACGATCTTTTTCTCCCGAGAGAGATTCAGGTTTTAACTGCGCTTACGCAACGCATGAACACGTGCAGAGAAGCCACTGAAATGTTTGGAACGGAGCGCAATGGCACTTTCGGAATGTCCACTAGGTCATGACGAAACTATGTTCAAGCAGATTAACCAAATCAAAGCATTCGTTTTTTTATTTCCTAAGCAACGCCATGATTTGGGGAGGGAAAATGAAACGACCCCAAACGTCCTTCACCAATTAAAACATACATTGTCGACATATTAGTCACTGGTGGAGAAAAAAACCCTGCGAAATGCATCGGTAGCGATGGTTGCGTTGTAAAAATATTTACACACATGCAACATGTCGTAAAAAGGACCGATATAAGCTCTTGGACCCGTCTACCAAAATTTTAAATTGCAGACGTATCATTATAATAAGCGCTTTTTCTAATTCACCCACACGAGACGTCTCCAAAAGGTAATCTCCCCTTCGTCACTTTCCATAGCTACACAAGCCAGTGTGTGACTGTGACAGCGCCAAGCACGCTAAGCCGCTGTGCAAGCACTTAGCCACCGATATCGTCACAAGCCCAAACAGCAGTTTGCCAACAAGTCATCCACAAAGGTAGCCAAACATTACCCGGACCATATAACAAGCCCCCGTCCCGTTGTTTGCTCGACTTAGAGCAGGAATGGTACATATTTTGGGGGCAACTGCAAATATGCGAGGGGGTGTTATTTGGGTGAGACCGAGTCCAACTGAAGTCCAGGTGGGGTTGGTGAGTCCACGCCAGCACGTGTCGTAAAAGAAGAAAAAAAAAACCGGAACAGATCCACTCAAGATGACCCTTGACATTCCTTTGAGTGACGTGTTTGATGCCATCTTTGCAAAATCACCAATTTTCTTAGAGGGCGCGTCTGATATTGACCATATTTCAACCTCACTTGATCACCACCAAAAAACTTCAATTATTGAACTGTGACAAAATCTTTTACTATAATATCCGCTCTCGTAAAAAAAAATTAGTTGCCCTGAATAAGATCACCTTCCTTAAAAGTCGAATAAAATGGGAGCACGACCGGTTAACCTCTGCAGCGTCTGCAAGCCAACAACTTTGTCACATTGGTGAGGATCACTTGCATACCAACTTCCAATTTACTCTTTTTCTCACCAAAGTGCCCCACCCTGTAGCCTTTTCCCTTGGCAGGTTCGCGTGACAAGAGTCCAGTTGCCTGCTTCGTCCTCCATTAATAATTCAAAGCCAAGCCGCCAAGACGCCAGTGTGCAGGGCTTTGAAGGGCCGGCGAAATATCGACTCATTGGGCTTCCAATCATCTAAAACACACACACTACCTCTCGGGATTAAGGGGAAGAAAACGCATAAATGCCACTGAATGTGGCATAATGGTAACTTTGAATCTGATGGTTCTACTCTCAAAAACGGCGACGCATCAATGGTTCCCCCTAAAATAATGTCAATTTTGAAGAATTGCAACGTCATTCTAGGTCGTCTGCGAATGAGAAATATTGATCCGGAGGCTACCCTAGTTACGGGACGCGAAGGCAAGGACATTTCTTGCACATTGCGCCTGATTGCCGATTATTGGGCTTTATCACATTCTGAAGCAATTAAGGGGACCAGTACCGGGGCAGAGGCCCCCGTTTTGGTTACAAAGTTTCGCGGCCAAACAACATGCTGGTACTTTTGTTGGGCCAACAATGCCGCGGTGTCTTGGTGGTTTTCACCGGCTCAGTCTGTCTCAAGCTTGCCGGAAAATCGCAGGGGCCTTGTCGGCATACGCAGCGGACACAGAAACCACTCAACCGACGGGAGATTGCCCGGACAAAACAAACGGGTTCGGTTTGAACGTAAAAGTCGGAAGCAGACCACAGGCATACAAAGTGTAAAAAAAACCTTTCGCCTGGTGTAACTACAGAGTTAAATGGATTAGAAACATAAACATCGATGATTTCGGCTTCATTAGAATTAAAGGATGTGCTTAACAAAAAGTCAACAAAATTGAAATCATTAATCAAATGAAACGACTCGGTAAACTGCACTAATCTTTCAATTTCCTGAACTGTGTTCAGTTTTCTTCACATCGAAAGGTCCTGGTCCCCGTGAGACGGCCCAAGACAATGGTTCTGTTAAGTAATAAGTGAACTAATTGGACGGTAAGAGCCCACATAAAGCAAACTTACCAAAATGTTTGCGAATAAACCGATCGTCCTCGAGGAACAAAATGACCAGAACGAGCACCGGCACAATGGCAAAAATTCTCTGCGAAAGTTCCGCTATCCTGACAACTGCTCGCCGACAAGTGCGCGGTCGATACCGCCGCAACTCTGCTCTGCAGTGGACGCCAGAGAGTACGGGAAAAATGCGTTCTCTGGACCGAGAGACTCTGCCAGTTGTGCGCACAGATGTCTCGTGTTGGAGATTATAAGCGAAAAAGAGAGAGATAGAGGGAGATCGATCTCTAGCTACACAAGCTAAATCATCGACGTGCCCTGCAACAAAAGAAGATTAGAGATGCTTTTCTTACGCTGCCGTTCGTTATTTAAAATTAGATCCAGCAAATTCCTATACATATGTGTCGAGGGGCTTGTCCTATTAGACATCGGAGGGACATACTCAAGCTATTTTTGCACATGTATTTTTAGCTCATAGACCAATACGGTACAGTGTTTAACTCTCGTTTCACTACCTTACTCGATTAGATGTAATTGGCAAGTCAAATAGAGGTGGCCTGTGTAAATATTTAACCACAGCATTACATGAAGAGAAATTTCAGGTAACCAACATAGTCTTTTTTTGTTGGTCTTTGTTTGTCTCTTAGAGTGAAGAAAAAAATCTTTTGGATTTTGGCGTCAGTAAGAGAGATGTGACCCACTCATTTCTCTCTGAAAATACAGGCTTATCCGGTCATAATAACAACATCATTCCTTCCACATCCAAACAACAACAGCAACTCGTGCATTTTATTCAGAGGCCATACCAGGAATGCCTGTGGTCAGAAAAAGCGGCGGCTTGAAAGCACAGAACAGATAACAGGACAATAAAGTACGGGTTCGGAAAATCAATGTAGGCCTAGGTCGGTTGGATGGGGAAGCGGGCCACATTCGGCTACTGTGATACGCGAATGATAGGCATGTATCCGTCTTCTTGGTCAGAGGCATGTGGGACGGCTTTGCTGGGCCGTCATACTTTTTCCACAGCACCAAGTTTAATGTTTGAACAACACTGGTTAAAGCAAACACGAAGCAATGGAAACTGTCTTCATGCATCGAAACCTCAAACATTTCTCTTGATACTTTTGACGTATCCATTAAGTTAGAACAATAACACAGTGGGTAGACGAGCGGATTAGACAGAGTATAACGAAGAGGCCGAAACCTTCTTCACATTTAAATCACTACCACGGAAGAGATTTTGCAAAATAAGGCACAAATTTGGATACATGTATTGTGATGAGTAACTGAAAATGTGACTAGTGATCACTGTGGGTCAATGCAAGTTAAGCAGGTGTTCTAGCTTAATTTGCCTGTCGATCCAAGACACAACCCCGCGATGTTTGTGTCCCTTAAGGACACGTTCACGCCTATTAGCACCAACTTCAAAATGGCCATCAACACTAAAGTGCTAACACTTAAGCTTTGAAACCGCAGAAAGACCAGTTCGACATGGAGGAAAATTACCACTAAGCATCTAAGTGAGCAAGCAACCCCTCGCATTTAGCTAAACGATTTTAACAC